GCCTGAAAAAAAGCAAAGATTGAAATAATAATAAGCCAAAATTAATTAATGAATCAAACAGTAAGTTGACACGTGGATTTTAATTGTTTTTGCCTAAAGGAAAAAACCAAAATTTCATAAATGTAGCAGGAGCATTAATTAGAATTTATTATATGTCACAATCCCATTTAATTGAATTCGTTTCCATTAGGATGGCTTCCTGAGTTTCTCTTCTTTATTTCTCCTTTGTTCTATCCATTGTATATAATCTGAAATCCACCCAAAAAAAATACTTTAAATTTTTTTTTTCCTTGCATGAAACTAACTAGGACAAATTTTCAGCGAAGAGGACACATATAGATGTCACATAGTTTTCTCATTTAATTATAGACGTAAACCTAATTTCGTAACTGTAGACGTACGAAAATTAGACACTAGTAGTAGATTTTTATTTATTTTGGATAAAGACGAATATCAAACCATATATTATACGTATCCCATGTATTTTAAATGCCAAACAAACAGAAAAATAAATGCCAAAACTATGCTACCTACGAAATATTATTATTTTATGGTCCCACTTTGGTTTGTATAAATCCTATCATAAATCTAATTCATCTACTCGTCCACCGTAATATAATACTACTATCGAATATGTTATATAGTCCATGCATGGTCTTTTTTTTTTTACCATGCATATGTTGTTCGTTAATAGTTGCATTTCTACTTTTCCTTACGTCGTTGACCTTTTAAAATAATAAAAAGTTATACCTATTGGATTTTACGACGTTAGTTGCAGTTATTCATAGTATTATTTGAATATGTGTGTGCCCTGTTGACCGAAGCAGTTAAAGTTAGGTCAGCATAAATTTGAATGACCTTACGATGATCAAATTAAATATCTCCATACTTGACCACTCAAAATATATTGTAAGCCCTTTTTAAAAAATGTAACAGTTGTCTCATTTAATTTGCCTTTTTTTTTATAATCAATTTTTGTACAAACCACACAGATTGAAAATATATCTTTTAATGGGTAGAGAAACTAGTTTGTTGTAGGTATCATGCATGCAAACCATTTCCTCATTTCACTAGTCATCAATTTTGTAAATATTATTTTTCCTTATATTACTTTCCTTGGTAAATCATAAACCTCACATAAGAGAGGTAACTGTATCCAAGTCGATTTATTAATCCACAAAACTGGCAAACAAAAAAGTGGTTGTGTTTAATTTTACACGATACAAAATAAATTTAGATGTACAAATACAATGAATTCAACTACCTTCCAAGTTCCAACTAACCATGGACTATGGGTTATTCAAAGTATGAAAATAAAGCCACATTAATTATTGTAATAAAATTAAATCATTTTATCCGTGAATCCCATTTTTTTTCTAAATAAATCTATCGCCAAATGACCATTATACGTAGTTTATTTTCTTGTGTTATAAACTAAATTCAAATCCGACATTAATTTTGTTGACCAAAAACAAAAAAAAAATCTACCATGCATTTACAAAACTTACCACCCTTAAATTCTGTCTTTCTCATCAATTTTTCTTGTTTTTGTTTCGGTTTTACAATTTAAACCCCCTGATTTTATCTATCATTTATAAACACCAAGAGCCCCCCAAAAAAATGAAATTTTTCCAATTTAGCCCCAAAAGTTTCAGATTGATATATTAAGATCAATCTTCGGCTTCTTCATGGAATTTGCAGGTAAAGGAACAATCGTATCACATCTCGGACATTTCGGATTGTTCTTCATCACCAACACGTACGATAAACAACCGGGACAACCCGCGGCCACCGGAGAAGCAACCGTCGCCGTAGAATAATGATCGGAGACTGTATCCTCCGGCGATTGTCGTTTCTTAAACATCGCCGACGGATCTCTCTCTGCTCTCTCTAAAGCAGATTTCACTTTGTCGAGTGTACAAACACTCTGAAAATTAGGGTTCGGAGATATAGAAGAGAGAAGACGAGGCCGTGACGACGGTGGTAGTAGTTTCAGTTCCGGCGATGTGTCGTCGAAGAGATTTAACAGAGGCTTCGTCGTCGATTGAGAATTCGGTGGAAAATTCAAATCCGGAAACGTTGGTACTGTTTGATTGGATTGTTCCGGGTTCGTTATTGAAGACGAACTCGTCGAATTGCATCGTTGCAGATAAACTTTCCCAGACTGTTCATCAACAAACAAAAACCACCAAAATCAACAATCTAATTACCCAGAATTCAAAATTCGAATCAATTTACCAGAAAAACAGAGAGGAATCGATACACGAACCTTCAAATCGAGACGTTTTTCGAATCCGGTGGGGACTTGAAGGTCGAGATCAAGCTCCAGTGACCGATCTCCGCCGCTGCCAAGGAGATCGCGAGTCGTCAGATTCGCCGTTGATTTTGCTCCGGTGGTCTCTTTCGTCACCGTCCGATCATCTTTGTAACCGCTTAGTAACCGTACGAGAGAGCTGACGTCAGCAGCCATACCAGAAATCATAGAGAGAGAGAGTAATGGAATAGGTTAAAAGGCGAAGAGAGTTTTTATATAGACGAAGCCAATATTATTAAGAGCCGAAATGTATAAATAGAATTAAATGCGGGACGTTATGTAATTTTAAAATTTTCAATTAATTGGTAGTATAAATTTATCATTGAATATTATTTTTAAAATTGATTATTTAGTTTGCTTTCTATTGTACACAAGCTATTAATATTAATGAGGGGGTTACATTTATCGTTGTGCCATTATTGACTAGCATTTAAATTTTAATGAATTTAATGTGTGTTGATCTTTTAGCCTTTTTTTTTTTCTTTTCTCCCTACTTCACGCTCTACACGTTTTCTCACTATTCCATTTTATTTATAACCTTACCATATTTTTCTCACATTTAATTTTTTATTTAATTTTGTATCTTTATTACATTAAATTTAAACATCCTCCTCCTCAACGCTCACTA